ATTACCAACTCATAGTAATATGAGTGCAGTATTAGTATATTCATTCAGTACCACCCCCACTTCTGTTCAGCTGGATCTGTGACACTGCTGAGATGATATACAGCCAAAAGGTGCCTCAGGAAGGTGCAGAACCTTGCCCACGTACAGCCGCACTGGTGATGGGACTTCAAAAAACGTAAATCCAAAGAACTGTTCTTACTGCAGTGTTTTGGTTGTTCTTTTTTTAAGGCCGTACTAACCATATTTAATAGAAATGGTAAGGAAGGATAAACACAAGAATATGAGACTAAATCCTCATCCTAGGTCTGACACTGTGATTTTTAATCAAGGCATAATTGAGGCAATTTGTTTAAGAAAGAGAGCTAACACTCCCATAATCAAAGAATACTGCAGTGCTGTGGACATGAAAAATACCATGTGGACATGAAAAGTACTCAATATATATCATAATCAGTGGATCCTTTCTAATAATTATACTTAAAACACATATTCCTTATTTCTTCTACACCCCTGAAAGAAACTGTAAGTAAAATCAAGCTGCGGTCAAACATTTCAAACCATATGAAAAGTCTTCACTGGCCGACCGTTCTCTTAGAACATGCCCACCACAGACTGCCCTAGAGCCAGCAGAGCCTCCCATCCCATCGATTCGCCTATAAGTTCACCACGCGTCTTTCATCTCCCTACTAAAGATCTGCAGGAAGCATGATTTGTGTTGGTTTGCGTTATTTAAATGGCAAGCAAAGGTTGTGAAATTTCAGTTTACTGAATTTACTTCTGTTGTGAGATATCAGAAATAACGCATTTGGCAGTAAAGTCAAATCTGCCAGAAAATCCAGAAAAATCCTTCCTAGTGGGACAACAAGGCCAATAGTGCTCTCTAGTTTAAATATAAAAACAAGAAGAAGGTATTTGTAGAAGAAGAATATGTAACAATGAAATGTCCTAGAAATTAAAATGGGCATTGAACTACTGTGCACAGGTCTAAAGCAGCTTTCATTTTCCCTAATAAAAACCCAAACCTGACATTGCGAGGCATAGAGAAAACTAGGGAAGACTTCCAAAACTCATGGTATTCTCATAGTTTCAAAGCAGCTTTTAGAAATCTTGAATTTCAGCAATAATGTTTCAGGGCAAACACTCCTACCACTAACATTCAAATGGCAACAATTGCTCACAAATGAAGTGATAGGGGTCTAGCTGGGAATGACCAACAGCAGGTCCCATGAGGACCTCAAACACAGCCTCAAAACTTTCTAAATTTTCTAGTCTAACTTCGTCGTGCCAAAGCATTTCTCACAGTGCCTTCCTCAGAAGGAAGATGCAACAAATTGTGCTGTTTACATAGTAAACACAAAACAGAAACTGTGGTGGCTAAAGAATATGCGTTCTTCTCTCCTTCAGCCAATCTATTTTTAACCTGTCAAAACTAGTAACAAGCAGAGGAGGACTGAGGTGGAGATTAATTTTCCCTTGTGCTTTTAAGCTTTATAAAGCTCCTTTTATAGCATTCAAGAAAATTGTACAGTGACTGACATGGACAAAATGACAGTAATCCGTCACAATTTCACATTTCCCACCACGCTGATTCAAGTAGCTATTTATGAACCTTACACTTCAACGGTCACTCTGATGACTAAACCATAAATTAGAATGTAAAGTGAATATAAATTTGATTTCAGAGTAACAGCAAATAGTCAGCAAAGTGGGATATTATTTAATTTCTATCGACACGCGCTGAAAAAGTCAGCAATACCAAGATGTGCTACATCATAATAAACCCCAAACTTAGTAAAAAAATGTACACTATATCTCATGTTTGCTTCAGTGCTTTTGCATTTAAAAATAAAAACACTTTATATAATGCTTAGTTAGTTTATATACAGATTTTTAATAACGTCAGATGGCTTCATTATTTACATCATTCAATTAGTGAGCAAGAATTTTTTTTTTATAGAACATGATTAAATTTGGCAGGAAAAATATTAATATGAATTTCTAATAGTTTTGATGAAAACCAGGAATAATATATGATAAAGAGGGCTCCTATTTTTTTCAATATTTATCTCTTCCTTTACAGATGAAATGGAGATAACACTGAAACATCCTAGACTACAAAGAACAATGATTCTTTTTTTTTTTTTTTAGTAAAACTTATTTTTGGATGGGATGGAACTCAGCAAAAGAAAATGTTCAGTTATCCAAGCATCAGCAAGTGATCCAGGAACACACACCTTAAAAATTATCTTTCTAAATTAATTTTATTTTATGTGGTGGTGTAAAAAAAAAAATCTTCAATATGCCTCAATTTTCCTGAAATTCTTACAGGATTTTTCCTGAAAACCTTACATGGAATGATACCAAAATGTGATCCAATAGCAAACTACTTTAGCAGCTTTGTTTTGCATATGGGAAACCCCCTTAAATAGTTTAGACTTCAAAAAAATCGACTGTGGCTTTAGTAATAACTTCATTCTACTGGTATGTTGAACTGACAAAGACGTTTCTTTCTCCAAGAAATAAATGTGTAACTGAGAGACCTTTAAAGTAGTTTGTTTGACAAACTACTTGTTTATGGACAATCATTTAAGATAACTGTATTAAATACAGTAGTTTGAAAATGTTAGCAAAATTAAAACATACACGGAGAGATTTGCATATTTGGAAAATTCATGTGGTGCTACTAATAAGATCTGGAAACCCACATATTTCTCTGAATTTCTTCTTGGTTGAAACATGCATATCTATTCTAAAACCTTTTAAAGCAAGATTTATGTATTACATGGTAATTAAATGTGTCTCAAGGATTTCTCTCAATCTTTAGTCAGGAAAAAATTCTCATCAAATAATTTTTTGCCATTATTGTAAATCAGCAAAACTCAAAAAGTAGCAGATTAAAATGGTTCTGTTGGTGTAATGAAAAAAGCATAATCCCTGCTATGAGACAATAGCAAGTGTTGTATATTTTTATTGGCATTATGCTCTTAAACGAAGTATTAAATGCAGAAGATTTTTATCAATGCAAATATAGACTGGTGTATAAAACAGTTACAGTTCATGTACAGGCTCATCAGACATATCTGTTTAGGCATATGCATATGTTTATATGTGCTCAGATGTTCATGAGCACTAGTAGCCAATGAACACAAGAAGCCCTTAAACCCAATTTACTTCTTCGGAGAGGAGAAGAGACTTCTGACACTAACTGACACTCCTAAAGGTAAAACAAAAAAAAAGACCTACTTCTTAAAGAGGAAAAAGGCCCCCAAGTCAATTCTCCCTTTCAGAGAAATGGCTTCTTAGTTCAATGTCTACAGCAACAAGGTAATCTATGTTCACAGGACTCAGTCAGGAGAGATGAGTTTTACTTTAAACTCTATCTCAAATCTATTATGACACTCAGACAAGTCAGTAGAATCTCATATTCTAAAAGAAAAGATGGAAAACTTTTGTTTCAGCAAGACATACCCAGCATCTGACTTAGAACTGCCTTCTTTTTAATCTAGGCTTATAGAACCACTAAGAGACAAATCCTACCCATCCGAAGGTGGGGTACACTGAACATGATGGTATTAGAAATCCAGTCCCTCATTTCAGCATCCCACTTTCACATTTCTAAAGAGAAAACAGTTACTTCACATCTAATTCCACGGCTTTATACCTTGATACTGAACCTTGGTCAGAAAGGAAAAGCATTTGTGACTATAAAGAAGTTGTGAACTAAAAGTTCTACTCATATACAGGTATGGGAAAAAAATGACATTTGAATATATTTGCATTGAACAATCCAGAATTGTATTTTCAAGAATCCTTTTTAATAATGGAAAAAAAAGGAATCAATGGGTACAAGAAATCTACAGAAGAATACAAGAAATCTACAGAAACACACATTCTTGACTATTTGTAACCACCACCAAGTGGAAATCTTAGCATACTTTCTATAGTTTACCACTTTGCATACTTCTAAAACAGCACTTACTCCTATGAGAAGAAACTCCAAAGAAATAATAAACTTACAGCACAACTTTTATACTTAATTGCCAAAACAAAGGGCCTAATTTCTTACTGACATAAGAAACTACCTAGCTGACCCTCTGATTGCAAAAAAACCCCATGCTACAGCAGACCAAGACTTTAGAAATATCTTCTATACTCTTGAAAATCTGGAGAGACATGCCCATTACGATATGTATAAGTAATGCTGAGCTCTCACCATCATCAGTAAGTGCAGTCTTTGCAAGGAGAGCCGGTTTAGAGATTGAAAGCGCCCTTAGAGAGTTCAGGCAAAGAAGGTTGTTTTGTCCAAATTTCCAGTGGTCCTTTTAAGTAAGGATTATATTTGAAAAGTAAGTAAGTATCTAAAGTTTACTGAAGTATATATCATATCTAACAGATATGGTACCCAATGGAATTAGAGCTGTTATAAACGCTACTCAAACCAGCTCAGAGAAATATATTGTCATTGATTCTGGTTCTTCCAAAGGAAAATCTACCACCATGTTTGGATACATTTAGCAAACATTTGTTTAATTCACCTTAGAATTTTCTTGTTCTGCTATTGTTCCAACACGGTATTTGGAGTTGGAGACAAATCAACACCAAAGGCAAGAGTATTCAGAGTGGTGATCACAGAGTGGTGATTCTAAGCATGCGATGGAAAGAGAGAAAAATGAGGAAAGGAGGTGTAAAATATGTGAGCTAAAGGAATATTAATGCAGAACAGAGGAACAAAGTGAAGATGCAGTGAAACCGCAGAGCAGGTTAGGGAAGCCCACATCAACTTTTGACAGCAAGGCCTCTTCAAGCCAGTGCAACAAGAATCAGTAAATGCCATATGGCAGCCATCAAGGAGAACCACAGGCTTCCCCTGTGCTCTCTTGGTCAGACAGACAAACCAGCGTTCATCCAAAGGTATTCTGAGGTAGGATCTATTTTCCCATCTGTAATGACTGATAAGTGAAAAACTCGTCTCTGAAAAGAAAGAAATAAAGTAAACTTACCTGCCGATGAATAATCTCTAGGTTTGCTTTTGCTTTATTCACGAGTTCTTCTATTTTTTCAGTATCTTTTATATTCTTGTTTTCTCTGAAAGCATCTCTTATCCTTCTGATGGCGTACGTTCTAAATGTAAACAAGAGAACATGTACTTGCAAATGTGCCACAGTTAGGACATTTCAATATTCTTTGAAACACGTTGAATTTTTTTTTTCCATATATATGTATATAAATAAAATACACACACACATTATTTACCCAGACTTTAAATACATCTTTTTATTCAAGGTCCTGTGTTGCCTGAGCTGAAACAAAGACCAGACATTTTAACTAAAAAAGTGGCTTTACTGACATTTTCTGTAGAAAAGTTTCTTATTTCATGTATTCAGATCAGTCATTATTGTTCTGCTTGTTACTGCCATAAAGAGGCAGCCAATATTAAGAAGCTTCTTGAAGCTGCATATAGGACTGCTGGTGCTGGATATTCAGTCTGGATAAAGGAAAAAGCTCAAGGACACAAAAAAGTCCCAAAACATAAAAACATAAAACCTCCCAAATCATGTGCAAAATAATGATGAACCAGGGCAATTATATTTATCCCTAGCATTGTAAAGGTTATTTGTCACAACCACTAAATAAATTTCATTTTTTTACAAGTTCTGACTTTGTAACCTGGTAGCTACCAAAGGCAGTGAGCTGGATCAGTTATGCCAAAAACCATTCCCCTCCCTCCTTTCTTCTACTGAAAAAGCACATTACACCTTTCAGTCCAACCTCCTCATCCCCTTTCC